GCTGATTAAAATGCACCTTAAGGGAGTGGTAAAACTTGTTCCTATGATAAAAAGGGGGAGTGATTTAAAGAGGTATAAAAAGAAAATTACCACAAATATCACCATTATCGTCATCCATCTTAGAGGGGAGGAATGACGGTATGACCTCTAAATTCAAACTGCCCCCCCTGCAGTTTTCTGTTGATGGGCACAGAAATTAATGAGTGGAGACCAGCGGCAATTCTAATTAGCAGAGGGGATGCTAATTATTTATTCATTATGAACAAAGGGCAGAGGTGACAACACTTGTTGGGTGTGAAAGGGAGGAAGATTTAATAGGGGGAAAAGCAGTGTTGGCTAATAATTTTAGCATTCAAAAATTAACCTAAAAATGGAAAAATGAGCCAAAAGGTGGTTTGTTTTTATTTATTTATGTTTCTGTTGTTAAATAGTTTTTACTTATGACCTTTTAAATTGAAATGTACTTTAAGTGTACTTAAATTAGCCAGCCTGTTGTTCTATTCAATCAATTGGGTCTCACATAAAAATATTAAGTAGAACAACAGTTTTCATTTTTGGCAATGAGTCTTTTCTTAAAGTGATTTCTAAAAATCACGTGAAAGTGACACAGTAACTAAAACAAATAGATTACAAATCTCTCTCTCTCTCTTTTTACAAATTAGTTATGTCTGTCACAATTAAAGTGAAAACGGAATAGAAAATGTCAATTTGCAGCATTACATTTACAACTCTGCATGTTGCATCATACTTGTTATTGCTCTTTTTTATTATTATAACCATTCACACATGTTGTGTTGAGCTGAATGCAGTAACTCAAGTAGTCTTGAGTGCAAACATTTGTAAATCCTCACATCATAAACAACACAATGCAAAAACAGTGTAAAAGTGAGAGGTTTATTTATATCTTCAGTGATGAATCATCTTTGTAGCCAGATTACAACGTGCCATTTCTTGAAACGCAAAAATGATATTTATGTATTATGTTAACTAACATTAACAACCATTATTACACTATCAAAAATAATGTTTTTTGGTCATTATTGCAGTCCTCCCTAATTAGCCTTTTAAATGTATAATTTCTGTAAAATTTTAATTAGTTTTACCTAGTAACCATTTATAGCAGTGGTCATCAACCATCGGGCCATCAATTGGTGCCGGGCCGCACAATAAATCATGAATCATTTCTGTCTTATATAATCTGGGTCTGAGCAATCTTTTATTTTGAAAAGTCTTTTACTTTGAAAAGTGAGTAAGAAACAGACGTCTTTGGAAAGTTTCTCGTGCTCTCCAGACGCACCGAGTTGAATGAATTTCAAGAATTGTGGCAAGAATTGACCGATCAGCTTCAGCTTGTCTGGAATACACACATTTCGGCAAACTAATTATTTCAGACAAACACAGAACACCCAAACATTGCAGTGCTTTGTCATTTTTTTCCATAATTGAACTTTTCAATCGTTGACCAGTCCAAAGGTTAAGGACCACTGATTTATAGCATTCTGATTACAGTAAGGATACACAACAGTTCTGATAAGTAACAGTAAAACAGTATGTGACATTAAAGTCCGCCTGAGCTAGAGGCTATTGATACTTTTATTTCAGCATGTCAATGTACTTTTATAGGGCTGGGCTATTTTTCTGATTTTTTCGATTAATTCGAATTTACGTTTACAGACGATTTAATTTTGAATCAAATCGAGAAATCTCGATTTTTTAAAAATATATATATTTAATACATTATAATGGCACCAATGTGCTTTTGTTCACTCTGTATGAAGCAGGAAGCACACCAGAAGCACCTCTCGGCACCGCACCGCGAAGCACCACGATTCAGGACGCAGGTCATATTTCAGCCGCGCCACAGAGCCCCGTCTGATTAGTTTCATATTAAATATCATGCGAAAGTGAGCGTCTGATGTGTGATAGTTTAAACTGTCATGTGCGTGCCGTGTCGCTGCGCTTCTGGTGTGCGACCTGCTTGACTGCCTGTTAAAGCGTGAAGTCATGTAGGATTTTACTTATTGAATTAGTCTGAGTCACGTCTGTGTGGATTGTCAAGACATTCCCTCATCAAGTCGATAAACTCGATCTCAACATGTTTGAAGGACGTAAAAGCCTGCCATATGAAAAACCGCGCTGATCTTTTGGTTTGAACACGAGCAGAGGTGAGGGCATGTAGCAGTGAAACTGAAAGTACCCGCCCCCATGACGTCATTTAGCGGACCTAGTTGAAAACTAGACAGATCAGGCAGCATAATACAGAGAGTGAAGCAAAACGCATCAAATGATCGGTGTTTAAAAGGGGAAAAAAGAAAAATAGATTAAATATATTATTTTATATTAGACACACATCTAGTACTTGTTTTTGCTCCTGCTATACATCCACAACTTCACACATTGGGTTAAATTAGGCTTTACAGTTTCCATGTTCAGTCTTTTTCTTCCACTGTATCTTTTTAAGAAAAAGGCAGCAGCTTTATAACCTGTCATTTAATCAGAAGACAAAGTCAAAACCGAGCTGACAGCCAATCTTTCCTAGGCTCAGCAAAACATTAAAAAAATACCTCTGTATTCCTGCAACTGCAATATTTACACAAATATTTCTTATTCAAATCTTCAGCAAGGCTATTTAACTCGTGAATTTGTTTTACACCTTGACCGATTTTTGTATGACATGGCCATTAAAAATACAATGTTCCTTAACCAGATGGTTTAAGTTACTTTTAAAGAGAATGTTACTTCAGTCATGTTGTTGTAATGTTTTGAGAAGACTAGTAACACAATAAAAAAAATAAAAAATAAAAAAATTAATCGAAATCGTGAATCGGTCAAACTTTATAAAAAAAAATAGATTTTTTTTTTTGCCAAATCGCCCAGCCCTATGTACTTCCAACTGAAACTTTGAGTAAGGGGCGGGGCTTTTTGCACATTATTCCCTCACAGCAACCTAACAGCAAGAGGGGCGTGGTAAAGAATATTGTGGCGGGAGATATCAAACTGATGTTAACAGAGAAGGACCACTGCTCTTATCACTGAAGCAAACAGTGAGAATTTGATTTCAGATTATTAAAACAAATTTTTTCTAGTAGATTAACAGCATGGATTAACTGTTAGCCTAAAAAAATAACAATGTGCGCTAGGAAAAAAAAAATGTATTGTAAATTTTGATTTTATACTAATTTTAATGAAGAAATTATGACAAAAAGTATATAATTAATTATTGAGACAATTTCTAGGACAATTTTCATTAGATATATATTGCCTCCTAATAGAAACATGATTATATAATCATGGCTATATATATATATATATATATATATATATATATATATATATATATATATATATATATATATATATATTTAAAGAGTACCCCAAAAATGACTGAAGCCACAAAAACTAGAGAGTCCATCAAAATGACTGTAACCAACCACTGACCTCCAGCGTATTTGTTTTTCTTAGTATGGAAGTCAATGGTTGCAGGTTTCCATCTATCTTTAAAATTTCTAATATAGCATAAATTAATATAGCATTGAAACAAGTAACAACAAGTAAACAAGCAAGTAAATTAAAGTACAAGGTGAGTAAATGATGACTTTATCAATTTATGGGAGAACTATCACTTTAATGTTTATACTTAAACATTGTAACTACAACATGTCCGGCACTAACAGACAAGAAACTACAAGTGATATGCATAGACCAATCTACTGCATGTTTACATAAATAAACTATCAACACAGTTGAACGAAAAGCGTGTGAAACAAGCTGTACATATAACCAGAGCCAAAAGTAGCCTAGCATCCTGTCTGACCTTAAACAAATCTTCTGGTTAAGGCATGTTCAAACATCCTGGTGAAGCGAAACATTTCTAATGGTCTTTCTTTTAGTTACTGGCTCTATCAAACAAACAACCAAGCCTGAGGATTATGAATAATCAGGGCGTCAACTAGAGAGGACAGTAACAATCAAGACAGTGAACAGAAGTTGCCTAGGACGCATGAAACTAATGGGCAACAACAAAAACAAACCAGTTGCATCAGCAAACATCCACACTTTAAACCAACTTCCCCGAGCTCCCTCGAAGGCTTATCTTGCAGAATTTGGAGATCAATATTGAATATGAAACATCTCAAGGGCAGAAGTTCTATTTCCAGCCTCCACTCCAGACTGATGTGCATAAATGGGAGGTCTACTTGCACATGGAATGACTCAGCCGGTCTTAAATAATTTTTTTTTCTGATGAACAAGTGGAAAGATAAAAGGCAGAGAGCATCTGCTTCAATCTAGTCAAACTGAGAGATGTGAAATTACATGCATGTCCTCAGGCCTCTATGAACTCTCCTTGAGATTGTGCAGATAATTCTTATCGCAAAGTTCTTAAATTGAAATTTTGCCCATTTAATTGGATTATGCTAAAAAAAAAGCAAGTAAGCACTATGGATAAGACTGCCACGAGCCCTAGTCTGCTTTTTGAACAAATTGAAAACACCCTTTTCATTTTAGAAACAAATTCAGACACAAATTCACAGCCTAATATCTTGAAACATACTTGGAAGTGATTCTTCGGAGATCTGCCGATTGTGATGCAAGAAACAGAGGACTGAAACACCGCCTCAATATTGGCCCTCCTCACAGCTTAGATGCCATGTTAAAAATTTCTCATGAATACCAAGCAGTAAAGATCTGATTAATGACTGAGCGCTGTGTAATAGCGTCAGTCACCGCGGCTAATCAAGAAGAATGCCACATGATTAACCCTTATTGAGAACTGTTCCTCAGGCACAACACAGGAAAAATTAAAGTCATACATCTTCAGAATTCACTAAGGGGAGAATGTTCCATTCATCTCCTCCATCTACAGAGTTAGCTAGCACGTCCTACAGCTGAATATAAACCAGAACACTTGACTTTAGAAACACATTTGAGATCGCGCAAGTCAACTTTTTAGACAATACATCATGGTAATTAGTGTAAAAGAGACACAAGGTGTGACTTACCAATGCAAACGTCGATTTTGCCCTTAATGGCGGCTTCATGGAGCGGAGTGTAATTCCAGTTGTCTCTGGCATTGGGATCTGCTCCCTGGCAAAGCAGCAAACTGACCACCTCCGCATGTCCGAATGAACAGGCATTGTGCAGCGGGATTAAGCCTCCATCGTCTCTTGCATGCACATTCGCCCCCGTCTGCAGGAGATGCTCCACAACGTCTTTCCTTCCAAAACCTGTGAAATAACAATACCACTACATCAAGGTTTCTTTTTTTTTTTCCTCTACAAGGTTAACAACATGCGTTTCAGTCATGCACGTTTACCAAGAGTATCATTTTATGCTTGTTCAGCAGTCCTCTCGATAGACTGTTGAATCTTATCTATGATTTTAGTTGTGATATGACAACCAGTTTCAACAGAAAAAAACTGCTTTATTTTGATTTGCCAGTATAAGACAAAGCAACCAGTTTCTTGCAAAGCAACATAATAAAGATTAACATGAGAATAAAAACTATTTATTAATTTTAATTAGAATTTGCAATCCTTAATATGCCTATCCTCTTGAGTAATTCCCATATGCAACTAAAAAAGACAACATATCAGCTTTGCATATTCTTTTACAAGAACTCCACTTTTTCAGAAAATATCCTCATTTTACAAGTCATTTAAGTGAACAGTTGAGTTTTGCTAGTTTTGAGTCTATTGAACCAATTTCCTGGTCTGACAGAAACATTTTTAGCATAGCTTAGCAAAACAGGGTCTCTACAGGTTTCATCAAGTCAAATTAAGACTTTTTAAGACCTTTTTAACACTATTATGAATGAAATTTCAGACTTACACAAGGCGAAATACGAAGGATTTTTTTTCTAATGGCCCAGTTAAACCATTAAAAACAAATGTTATTGTAAGGAAGATACTTAAACCATAATAATAGATAGAGTTGGTAAATAAGAGTTAATAAATAAACTTCTTAAAACATTTATTGAGATGGAAAATTAAGACCTGTTTAAAATGATTTAAGGCCTGCAATTTAGATTTTGAAATTTAAGACATTTTAAGACTCCACGAACACCCTGATATATCATTTAATTGGACTAAGCCATTGGCATCTTGCTAAAACGTTTTTTTTAAGAGTTTAATAATTTTCCTATTCAAAACTGGACTATTCTAAAGTATAATTGCTAGCCATATTGACCTCGGAAATAGCAACTAGGCATGGACCGGAATAAGATTCTAATGGTACGATAACCTTGGATAGAATATCATAGTTTCACTTTTTTTACTTTGAACACAATGGCTGTATCCGAAATCACAAACGTCCATACTGTATAGTATGCCAAAAACATTATGTGGCCCAAGTAGTAAATCCGAATTCACAGAATACAAAAAAAAGATAGTATGCAGGAATTACCCGGAGACCTACTACTTCCTGTGAGATCCGATGGATGCTATGCTATTCCATGATGCACTGTGAGAGAATTCATAAATGGGACTGAAGTGGTAATGTCATGTGATAAAGACAAAACGCCTCTGTAATACGTCCGAGCTTCATTCATACTACTGACATTCACACAGAATAGACTGTATTTTTCTATCGAAGTAAATTCAAATGCAGTACCTTGACGTTTCTAAACCGCGGTACACCTTGAAAACTGTTATCGTCCCATGCTTAATAGCAACTTTATGTTTTCTGCGATTCTTCATACACAATGTAACTACTGAAGAGTCAACCATGCGGGATGCTAATGGTCTAATTTGATTCAATGATCTATGCTAAGCTAAGCTAAAAGTGCTCCCACCAGCCCCGAAGATTGGATGGATGGACTCAAAAATAGTCAAACCCAACTGTTGTAAAATAAGCAAAAAAGCAGGGTGCTCCTTTACTTACTTTTACTAACAAATTACTTTGCGCTTGCTACATTCGCTAAATTGTCACTATCATGTGCCTTACGAGTAGCAATTGCATTGCTTCAGTGCCACTTGCTTCACAAATCATCTATGCCCTCAAGAGACACTTCAGAGTCTCGCCTATTTTTAGTTTTTCCCATATAGTAAGGATGTGTAATTTCAGATGCAACCTTGGTGTAACTGAACAACACTATTAAACTGCATGGCAGGAGCACTTTTCCCCTTTGCGTGGACACATTTCCCACTGCAACAGGAAGTTGGGGCAGGGCATATCAAATGGCTCATCCATTTGTCTTTAAATAGCCTCTAAACAAAAGCACATGGACTCAAATCTGCAAAGCTGTATTTCAGATTTTATGCAGGTCTTATAGTTATGGTTCACACTAAAAAAAATATTAAAGAAAGCTGGAATTCTGTAACCATTAATAAAGACTTCTTCAAAATATCCCTTGAGTTCAACAGAAGAAATAAACTCATAAATGTTTTAAACACTAGGGAGAGTAAACTGAGTCAATTTATTTTTGGGATGTGAACTATCCTTTGAAAAAGATATCCAGCCATTCATGATCATTAGTTAAGAATTTACAAACAATCACATATACATATAATACTAGCACATGTAACTTTGCAATACATATTTTGTATATATATATATATATATATATATATATATATATATATATATATATATATATATATATATATATATATAATTTACCTAGCTGAGATTTATAGTAATGTATAAACTATATGTTTATTTATAATCAGATCAAGATTTTCATGAGCTTTAAAAATGAATGATTTTTTTTTTGTTGCTTTGTATTGTTAGTTAACAGTGCAATAACTTATGCCCATAACTGTTATTTTTTCCTTTAAACAATGTGCTAATACGTGTGAATAATAATTTATATCAATAAGTAACATATTGTTCAGTGTGTTAACTATCGTTAGCTGATGGTAACAAATGAATCCTGTATATAAAGTGCTAATGAATTCACTTATTTTACAGGTTCAGTGACTGCAATAACAGACAACTGTTAGTGGAATATTTGTGACAATTACTTGCAAATAATATTTATTTTCACAAAAGTAAACAATAATAATAACGCTTCTTCATCACCAAATACTGCACTCATGTTTAAAAGCCAAGTTACACGTGAAGGTGCGGTTTCACTTTATCCAACTATTGTGTGATCCAAAGTAAACTCATTTTGGACATTCGAGAACAAACTGTAACTTCAATATAATGTTTATTACCTGTATCGATCGCCTCTCGATGTGCCGCGGTTCATTCAAGTCTATATGTTGAACTTTATTCACTTTCGGCAGCGCAACAAATGAAAACAAACACGAGCGGACAAACACAGATCGCGGAGTGGTTAACTTTCTACCAACGTTAACGTTAGATGTTAAATTATTGTCCTGTTAACATTAGATAACTTGGCCAAACTCCACTTTATTGCCCCTGTCCCCGTTTTCTTTACCCTCGACTTGTTTATGCAGCGACCTAAAGCTAAAGCGTCTACCTGGCCGCTTCCCAGGTCGAGATTGATCGCAAACACGTAACGTTAAGTATTTGTGTTTACCTGCAGCGAAGTGAAGCGGGGTGGACTTGCGCCCGGCCATGTCCTTCGCGTTTACATTGACCGAATCCACCAGTCTCTTCACCCGAGACACGTCCCCATTCCTACAGGCCTCAAACAGCTCCCTGAAAGCCCCACTCGTCCCGCAGCCGCTGCCTCCAGGACTGGCACTGCCGGAGTCGGGAGTGGAGCCCGCACTACTGCCCCCGCCGGTGGTAGATGAGCTAGTGCTGCTCGAGCTGGAGCTGCTGCTGCTGGTGCTGAGGAGCGCAGCGGGGATTTCAGCACTGAGCTCCGGATCCCCGATGCTTTCTGCCTCCCCGCCAGCCGCTAAACCGCCGGTGTCGGTGGGCGATTCTGGAGGTGAGAGGGGACTGGAGTCAGGTCTTTGTGGAGAGGATAAGTTTTGTTGTTGTTGTTGCTGCTGGGCAGTGCGACGAGACGTCGCCATTTTCGCACACAAATCCCCCTCTGGCAGTGAATATAGTCGGGGAGAACTTCCGGGAAGTGTCATAGTAAAACTTCCGCTTTCAGACAAGTGGAAAACTGGATTCAGTTTATCTTTTTCTTATTGTTGCACAGATGTTTAACAATCTTGTTAAATCAAATGAACTATAAGAGATTTAAATTGGAAGAGAAAGGGTACTGATAAGTCAAGTAGCAGATGACACTGCGCTTAAAAAATGCTTCTCAAATCCAGTCAGCCATCGAAATTCTAGAATTTTTTAAGTGCCTCGGGCCCTTTATTAATCTGGGGTCGCCACAGCAGAATGTACTGCCAACTTATCAAGCATATGTTTTTACGTAGCTGCAACTCATCAATAGGAAACGTGCAAATTTCACACTCATACACTATCATGTCTTAGGACTGTGGGGGAAACCAGAGGCAACATACAAACTCCACACAGAAACGCCAACTGACCCAGCAGAGGCTCAAACCAGCAACCTTGCTGTGAGGCAACAGCACTATACTGCGCCACTACGTCGCCCCTAAGTGTGAATTGTTTGCCTTAAAGAGTTGTTATGATAAATCCATCTGTAATATTCTTATAAAGGATATCCCGAGCTATTTAGGAATAGCGATTTTTTTAAAAAATTCTCACTAAATCTCACAAAATTTCAATTCGATTATCAAAAAAGTCCAAAACAGGTTTAACATCTGCTTTGTTGGCTAAAGCAGAGAGTATCTATAGACTTAATTATGTTGCGTCCACAATTCATTCAGATTCTAAAATTAATAAGATAATTGATCAAACAATGTTAAACTTTCTTTGGAAAACCGTGTGCATTAAAAAGAAATCTGTGATAGTCAACTCATATAGGAAGGGAGGTCTTGAATATTTAGGTTTTTCTATTAAAAAAAAATACTTTGAAGATTAACTGGTTGAAGTACCTGAAAAATCTGTCTTCAATGTGGAACATAGTTTCTAGTAGAATTTTTGACCAGCTTGGTGTTTTTTATTTGTTTCATTTTGTTTTTCATTTAGCAAAAAGAATAACAATAAGAACATACATCTACTAGTCCAAAAAGAACTGGTCAGTAAATTATATCTAAATTTATAAATGATAAAGTGCTGTCAAATTTTCTTTTACTGTATGAATATGTTATTATTATTATTTTTAACTATGATAAGAAGTTGGAAAATGAAGCTTATGTTATTATTTTTTTGATTATACCACGTTTCACATCCATCAATGTAAATTTAGCAATCAGAAACCTCTTGTTTTAGTGGTACTTAAAGAACTAAATATTTCTATAAAATACCATTAAGGAGAGTACAAACAAAAAAAGCTTAAGTTATTGTAAATTAGCAAGCCTAGCAATATTTGTCATTTTTTATTTATTTGTTATTTTATTTTGTTTATCCTATTAAGTTTTTGTACTTTCATATAATTTTATTGTGCTTTTCATATATTTTGTGTAACTTTAGCATTGTTTTGTATGTATTTATTTATTTTTTTAATTGGAAATGTGGATAATTAATATTATCATATTTTTATATTATCATGAAATCAAACAAAGAGATTTACCAAAGTCCTAAGAATTCCCAGCACTGACAATGGTTAATTCCTTCAGAATAAGAAAAATATCTCATGAAAATTAAGGATCCAAATGAGAGTTTTCATCAGAGAATTATTTTCTTAGTCTAGAGAGTTTACTTATTTAATTATCTAAACTACTTTTCCATAATGAACCTATTGTGAAAATAAAAGGTTGAAATAGATTTCAAGAGCTTTTAACCACCAGTTGACTGACCCATATACTGTTTTCTGATCTTCTGGACTGTCTGTAACTGTTTCTATAGTACATGTAGCTAAGCTTACATAATATGCATAGCAGACCAACAGCTGTTGCTGAGATGACTATGCATTTAGATCAATGGTCAGACCGGACAGAGGAGCTAAAATAAGCAAAAAGCTTTAATCAGTAAAGTGTTTCATATTTTGTTAAGGAAAATGATTTTTGAAAGACTACAATAGAAACTTTATTAACTTTTGGCAGCGCAACAATTAAAAACAAACACGAGCAGTCAAATATAGATTGTTGAGTGGTAACTTTCTACTAACATTAGATATTAAATTATTGTCCTATTCGCCAACTTGACCTAACTTGTAGGCCCATGGTCATACTTGTTAATACTTGTAGGCCTATATTTATGTGCATTTTTTTTTTTTTTTTTAGAGGATCAACCTATTTTGGTCTACAAAATCAAATCCAAAGACATGGTTCAAAGTCTGTCTTGTGTCTATAAGCATCTGCTTTTTTTTTAAAAAAAAAAGAAAAAATCATAGTTACTCATTTCCTTGACCCTTATTGGGTAACTCAACCATCACTGATCCAATATTGACATAACAAAACAGCAGATTCATCTTCCCTAACTGTCTGTTTTAGTTGTTGCTACAATATTTATCATAGGCTAGTGAAAGTGATGACCTCACCGCTGCCCCGGGATGAGTGATTTTTCTCTTATTTAAATAGAAATATATTAAGTTATCTGAGCTGATATTGTACTAAATGGATATTGGCAGTTCACCTTTAATGGATTTGAAACGTTTGATGACAGTTATGCAATGACAATGTTTGCATGAGAATCACAAACTCTTATCACACTGACACTCCAACATTGTTTACAAAGTTGTCAGAGTTTTTCCTCATGTTCATAAGTAATGAATGTGGTCAAATCATATCTATCCACATCTGATGCAAAAAAACAAACTGAATATTTGAGATTCAAAATGTAATTTAATCTTAGAAGTTTTTTTTTGGATAAATGATAGTAATGAAAATACTAAGATGTTGTCTCATCTAAAAAGCAGGGATTCAAACATCACAAAATAAAAGTGCAACCGCAAGTACTAATTATTTGTCACTTCAAATCTTTGATCTCTATCTTTAAACCGCTACTCATTTGTCAGCTAGATGTTTTTTTTCATAGTAAAACATGAAACAATTTAATATAATCACTCACATTTTTATATATTTTATTAAGAACAGATAATAATATAAATTTTTATTGAAATATGTTTCACTGAATGATTATGGAACAACATTGCACATTTAGATTTTTATTCTCACACTTTATGTTCCTTTAAGCTTCAAGTTTATAAACTTTACAAACTTTTAGTGGTTAGGCTGATAACTTCATAAAAAAGTGCATCAATTTGTGCTGTAATGTTATGTGAAACAAAAACTTGTTATGTATTAGGAATGCGCTCTACAGCTGCTCCATTTCTGTCCACTAATGAGTTTTGTCACCCTCTTCTGTCACTCACAGAGGTTCATAAATGACCCCCTGTTGCCAAAACACAAATTCTGAGGTGCCATTCTACATAGGTGTTATATTAGCTGTCAATAAAGCGTTGTTTCCTGTAAACTTATTTGAAAATACTCTTCCAAGTACAAAATTTCCAGTTATTACCTTTCAAAAGGTGACAGTATGTTAATTGCATTTCTGTATTTTTGTCATAAGGATATTTGCAAAATGAATGGCAACAAAAGTATGTTTTCCATCAGACTTGTGTGTACTTATGTTACACTTTTATGTACAGTTGTCATATCTATTGATTTCAGACGACCAAGTCCAAACAGCTGTTCTCCTGTTAACCTTTTCTACAGTCTGTTTTAGATCTCTATTTCACAACACATGTGCTAAAACTGCTTCTCTGTTTCTGCTGATGAGGCTGTTTTTTTCCTCCTATAATGTTACCATGTTGGGTTTCCTTTATCTGGTTTTAACTATGGATGTTCTGGACCATCTGTGCATGATTTGTGGTAGCAATAAGATGAGGTGTAGCAAAGTGTTCTGATGTCTTTGTACTCAAACTGTGGATAATTCTGAATACTAATGATGTTTTTTCAGAAAGAGAGAGAGAAAGAAAAAATAACATTTTTATTAAATACATTTTGTGTCTGTGTTGATTTTAAAACCTGCTGGTATACTTTTCAAATGTATGACTATATGCATAATTTTAAATGGTCAAAATGGTTTGATAAAAAGTTTGCATCAAATAAAAATGTTTTTAAAAAATGTTTTGCTAGAAATCATTGACTGTTAAGGTAAAAATAATTAATTTACACACAAACAAATGTTGATCTGGAATTACATCATACTGACATAACCTGACCGGTTTGTGTGGGCTTTACATAGAACAGTGTCTTTATTGAGTACATACAATAGGCTATTAACATTCAAAAAAGTATTCATTAAATTTCATTAAATAACTTATTAAAATTAGATAAACAGATACAAAAACTCATTTTACTGAATTCCTCAGTAATTAACAGCCACTTCTGTCGTGGTAAAGTTAGGAATTTGTACTTTCTCCTCAATAATATATAAATTCAGAAAAGTATTGTTTGCCAATTTAAATATGGAAATCATATTAGCAGATAGCCATGCACGGAATTTCAACATTGTTCACAATCATTTAATTATGGTAATTTACTATAATTATGTTTAAAGAGAGCTCATGGTATCCTATATGAACCCCAGATCACCCATTGTACTCTGTGTTTTAGCAGCTGCCATCAGGACGTTGTTTTAGAGTTTGTAAAGGTGGCCATTATGTCATTAAATGAGTTCAGCAGGGAGGGAGATGCACCCAAAAAATTATGTATTGTATGTTGTGTGGTAATATTTTGTTGATTTCTACATGGAACTTCGCCTGTGTTACGGCACCTTGCTGCAATTTTAGTTTCCCTGAACGTGATTTAAATAGTCCTAATGTTGTTTTGAAGTCATACTTACATGCTAATTCAGACCCAACATTCATAGGGGTAAACAATTTAGGAACAAGCTGTCACTGTTTAAAAATGATCAAATGTGCGATTATAAAACCAACTTTACCTCAATTTTATACTATTATGGTTTGAGAGAGAGAAAAAGAAAGCAAAACAAAGTGCGCTGCTGACTGCATTAAGCTAACGAATAGCAAGAGGACTCCATTAGACTCCCATGACAAGTTTCATGTAACTTACTGTGGGAAGAG